CCTGGATGGCACATCAATGTTTGCTGTGTCGGTCAATGTAGTGTCTAGAGGCTGACCAGGGGACACGCCAGTAAACCAGGAGACCTGAAGGAGGTTGTAGGAGGGAAACAACGCAGGACCACTACCTCTGCTTTTGTGCAAGAAGGATCACTACCGGAGCCCTGCAAAATGACCTCCACCAGGCCAGAAATGTGTATGTGTCTGCAAACTGTTCAAAACAGACTCCATGCGGATAACAACAGGGCATTTTGGTGTATTTTTCTAGCACTGTGTAAAAGTTTCGTCTTTGTTTAAAGTTAACACAAAAGAAATGTATTTGTTTATAGTTTAAGCAACATTCTAAATGTTACTAGGTTGAAAGAATTCCACCTCTGTAACCCCTTGTCAAGTAATGTTAAGGCTACTGGACATGAAGTTTTCTAGAAGATGTTACCTCGAATCCCTCCACTTTGACCTCTGCATACAGATTATAAATGCAAATGGGAAAAATCTGGGGAAAATAGTAACTCACTGTTGCTACTTACACAGATGCCTCAGCTCTGTGGTATCTGTATCTAACTGTAATGAAATAAAATACACCAACAAAGGTGATTACTTTGCTTCTTTTATTGACTTCTTACTAACTGGTTTCGAAATCTGCCTCCACACAGCATGCTTCCCTTACCAGAAGCAGTTAGAGATCCACTGATAATGCCCAGTCACACCAAACAATAAAATATTGAGGGTCTTTTTTATCACAGTGGAATTGAAATGTATTAGAAAAAGATAACCAAATAGTAGAAATGTACTATGGTAATCCCTTATTTGTTTGCAGACAATTTTGTGGGTGGGGCAGCGTATGCTACAAGGTAAAAGATTTTAAAGAAATTCTGGCATGACCATGGTTTGACTCAGTTCACACCTTTGAATACCCATTATTTACCATCACTGAGGCCTTTGTCCTTTTTGCATATATGCATTTGTCTTTTTTTTTTTTTTTTGCTAAGATATAATATGCAAATGTTTCACGAGGATAAATATATGTAAAATGGTCAAATAGGATGCATTATTAAATATAACTGTGTGGAATCAGGAAATTTTCGAATTTCGAACCCATTGTTCCAATTTAATCTTTATTTTCCTCCACTAGGCCTGGTGACTCTTGATATATGAAAATATATATCACAGATTATTTCCTCTCATTAATCCAAATAACACCCTGACCTCCCACAGGAAGGTGTTACATTTTATTGTAGAAAGAAAGAAAGAAAGAAAGAAAGAAAGAAAGAAAGAAAGAAAGAAAGAAAGAAAGAAAGAAAGAAAGAAAGAAAGAAAGAAAGAAAGAAAGAAAGAAAGAAAGAAAGAAAGAAAGAAAACACAAGGTGTGGCCATTGGAGAATAAATTAACTTCATTTTTATAAGTGAAATTGAATTGGAATCTGGATAATTGCACTAAAATTAATACTTCTAAGAGTATTTTTTTCTCTTTTTTACAAAGTGTCATTAAGATATTTTTTGCAAATTAGCAGTACATATTAACAGTTTAGAAGGTAGAAAGAAAAATTTGGCACATGGAACGAAAGGGAGACAATAGAGAATAATAGCAAAAGGACAAAAGTTTAGAAAAAAACGGGTGAAGAGGCAGGGAAACACGGAAGGAACGGTATATAAAATAAGATAAATAATAAAGCACTTAATGGGATACGAGGAGAAAAGGAAGGACAGTCGGGCACATTAAAGACAAAATAAGGGAGGAAGGAAGGGAGGGAGGACTTTAGACCTGAGGAATAATAAAATCAAGTTATATTCTTTTCCAGACTAATTAGAAATCTCAAAGATCTGGAGTAAGTCGGACATCTCAGAACAGTAGTACAGGAAGGACAAGAAAGTGACAGACACATGAGACAGACACAATAAAATCTAACTAGATAAACTGAAGACAATGAGTGGGAGCCAACGTTTGCTTGTTATTGCAGCAATAATTTTCCCCCCGGAGCTCATTAAGTCTGGAGAGAAACAATCCACAAAACCCTAAAAACCAACAGAGTGGAGATGTTGAGAGGAGAAAGAAGCAGGTGGGTGTAGGAGTTTACAAATAATGCAGAAAGTAAAGAAATAAACAGAGATGGACAGACAACAAGCTGAGGAAGGCAAGGGGACAGCCTAGAATGGGCCGGAGGTACCGGAGAGGGCTGAAGACAACAGTCTGGATGCAGCTTTCTGAGTGATTGTCACAGGTTAGGTCAGTTTCAATAAATTACCAGGACAGACAGAAGTTTGGTTTAAGAAAAATAAAATTATAATTCCATTTTATTGATTTCTTCAAAGCAAATAAATAAAAAACTTGATAAATTGATTCAGTTGATAAATAATAATGGCAAAGTCTAAATATTTTCATCTTTTTACAGTCAAATAATAATATTAGTCTTTTTAAGCTATAACTTTCTATAGAAGTAGTAGGTTTAGCTGTTGTAGCCACAAATTGTTCCACACAAAAAAAACAAGAAGCATGTTTGTAATCAGCAGAATGGCGGCTTCTGATTTTTCCACACAATCATTATAAGATTCCTGTTGTCTTTTATACAACACTCAAGTACAGAAATACAGATAATATAGTCATCAGTCAATAATTAACTAGTATTACCATTATTATCATCATAATACCAGAAGAATAAAAACAGTGGCTTAGTTTAATATATTTATGTGTATATATATATATATATACATATATATATATATATATATATATATATATATATATATATATATATATATATATATATATATATATATATATATATATATATATATATATATATATATATATATATATATATATATATATATATATATATATATAAAGTTCGTGGTAGCAGGGTTCAGAGTCCACAGTTCAACGTGAAGAAAAGCAAGGAATGATCCATGCTTTGAGGCAAACAATTACCTTATGGTGGAGGGAAAACATGGTGGACTGTTAGGGACAGGAGATTGAGGGAAAATGAAGTGAAAAACTGATTTTTGTAAAACAAACTAAAGAAGAAGGAAATAAATGCCTTGACTGAGGCAGAGCAGCATAGAATAAATGATATAAGAGTCAAAAAGAAAAGTTTTGTGTCCAAAGAAGAGTGGTATGATGAAGGAGAGCAACTGTGTGAAAATGTATGAGTCAAAAATGGATACAAATCTATGTTAAAATTATAGGAGAAAGCAAAAATATTTGGTTCATTTGTCATAACAAAGACTAAATTTTATTTTTTAATGCTGTGTATGGTTAACCTGACAACAGCCACATGCATGTCTGGCTCCGCCTAGCTCCACATGGAGCTAGGCGGAGCCAGACATGCATGTGGCTGTTGTCAGGTTAGTGTATGGTGAAGTCAGATATACATTTTTATAGTGATTTTTTTTTATAAACTTTATCATTTGACCCATATAAGATAAAATGCGGCTCACCTGTACATTTTAATACATTGTATACACCTGTACATATGTAAGCCTATCTACTGTGCAAAACCGTAATCTTTTTCATGTTAAAATCCTTTATAAATATCAGTTTTAAGGTTTAGAGTCTGCTGAACGATGGTAAAGTTAGCTGGAGATAAAAACCAATTACCTGACAATGTTAATTTAAGGTGTTATGCTAAGTATAATTTATAGACCTATAACGCCAATTAATGTACTCTATTAATACTGATCCCAAACTTGCAAAACATTCCTGTATACTGGCAAGTTCATGTGAAAAAACTATTATTATTGTTCCATTTGCATTTTGCTTTATGCTTCTAATTGGTAGCGAAAAACAAACAAAAAAGACACAAAAAAACCCAATGAATTAAAAAACTTTTTTTTATTTTAGAAATGTCCAACTAAAAACCTGCTCCCTTGCCTTTTTGGGCTCAACCTAGACAAAGCTTGAAATGTTCAGTGTCTCTGTTCATATCAGAATTATTTATTTAATATATATATATATATATATATATGGCACATGTAATATTTTAATGTAATTTAAATTTTCTGAGGAACTGTTTTTAAGGTTTTCATCAAAGGTAACCTGTAAAACTAATCATTCCACACAGAGATCCAAAAAGTATTTTCTTCCTTAGAGTTTTCTCGATTATGCCGTGTTTTAAACATAAATGTATTATATCGACAAATTAACCTAAAAATTCTATTTTTAATTCAAATTTTTCATTACAGGGAAATACAAAAATAAAAATATACATAAACAATACTGCAAAAAGCAACCACAGAAACCTAACAGCTAGTTATCCTGCCCTCTATATCAATAACTGATAATGAGTGCATGATAAGGTGCTATGGATAAAAGTCCTCCAGATATTCGGCTTTAAGAACAGAATTCCTAGTTCCATGACTTAAATTTGGTGATCTAGGTCCTGAGGCAGCAAAGGAATACCAATTTACTAACACCATGTGAGTAGCTTAGCATTCATCATCAAAAATGCTGCATGTTTTACAACTTATGCAATAAGATGCACGTCCACAAAGACCTACTTATGACCTGTCAGCCCACAGAATATTGTCTTAAGGATCATCATGATTTTTCTTGGCATAACTGAGACGTGGCGCTTTGAGTCGGCAGTGGTTCTGGACTTGGAGCTCTCCTACAGAGGCCATTTTCTCCCAGTCTCTCTTTTTTATTTTTCCAACATGAACTTTGACCTTAATTTAGCAAGTTGAATCCTTTAGATGTTTTTGTTAAGGTTCTTTACTGAGCTCCTGGCTGTTTAGATGCATTTCTTGACTTTTGGTACCCATCTCATCTTCAGGTTGTAACTAGTGTATTGGCTACTGAGATTTAGTCAACTCAGTGCTCTTAAACGGATCCCAATGATAGATTTCCTATTTCTCAGGCTCTGTAATCACGTGTTGTTGGCTACACTGAAATCAGGGTTTTAAAAACAAAGTGCTTTTTTATTTTTTCTGTTTGGGTCAGGTTGGTTTAAATAGTTGTTTTTTTTATAAATGAAATTGTTTAAAATATTTTTTTTTGTTTTTTTGTATTTTTTCTAGGTCATCTGACTAATCAAAAAAATGTGTCGAATGATCCAAAACATTTAGGTAACAAACTAAAACCAAAATAATTTTTAAAAGTTTAGTTCTGTGATGTCCAGAACATAATACAACCCTCTGATGGCAGGAAAAGACAATAAAGTTATGAGTTTGATTGACCTTTAACAGTTGAATTACAGCCAAAAATTATATTTAAAAAAATAATACGTCTAAAAGGAGGGGAAATATCCTCAGGCTGGATACATGATCGGAGGTTTGTGTTTCCTGTTAGTTTAAATAAAATTCTAGTTCAGTTTTTATTCGGAAAACAAATCAGAAACCAAGAGCAAACCTTGTCATGCAAGAGAAAACAAAAAGGCGACAAATATGGCTACATTAAATAGGAGCATTGGAGGAGCAGCTTAAGAAACATTCTTCAAAGTTGATGTTGAAGGTGATGAATGAATAAAGGGTGTTGATGAATGACTGGGGAAGGAGTCAAGAGGAAAGGAGAGATTTTTTATAATCTGACACATTAAAATTATCTGCAGATAATAAAAAAAAGTTCTGGCTGTCCAAAGCTGCAGTCAAGCCACACAAAAAAGAGAGGATATGTTGGATGAAGGGATGGATGAAAGGAGGGACTGAAGCGAGGACGGTGGCCATTTTCTCTTAAGCACCAGCTTTTCTTATCCCTAGAATTAAACCTGATCTCAAATCACCCAAACATCTCCCCCTCTTCCTCCTGTACAAACAGTAGTTTGTTGTTAAGCCTCCTCTTTTCTCATTCTTTTCTGCTTCCAAATCGTGTGTCCTTCTTTTCTTCTGAACTTTCCATCTTCCAGCGGCGCCTCCTCCTTTCTCTCCATCCCCTGCTCCTTCTGATCTCCTTCCTCTCTACAATGGGAACACCAGGAAGCCAGAGAAGGTGGAGTATTTCCACCCTCCCATCAGGTTTCCTCTTTCCAGTTTGAGGTAAGCCCGGTCTCCCTTCTCCATCTGGATCAGAACTCCGTTGCTGGCAGCCTCACGCGTCACATCCTGGTCGCCAGCGAATGCTGAAATCACAGGCCAGCCGTTGTGCATCAAGCTCACCTGGATAAAGAACACAAACCAGTTTTAGTTTGCAAAAAGAAATCAGACTTTTTTGTAGAATGAGCAGTTCTTGGCTTTAACAGCTGTTAGCATAAGGATTAATACTCTATGTTTAAATATAATCTTTATCAATGAGCAAAGAAAGTCCACAACTAATGATTTTCTGTTAGCATGGATAAGATTAACTATTTCACAGTTCACAGTCATTGCAAAATTAAAGTGAACACTCTTTTCATTCTAGGGTTTTATATATCAAAACTTTAGGTTGTAAAATAAATGAAGGTCCAATTTGAGTCTATAAAATATTCTCAACAGACTCCAGACTGTCTTTATTTTAAGAATCCAGCAAACAAAATATTTTAAAGGTTTGTCTGGATGCAGAGCAGCAAACCCGAATGGGAAGGTTTAAAATGTGGTATCAGGGTCATATGTATCAACTGATAGTTTATAATTCACATCCATTAATTATGGTCATAATATTGGAACAGAGTATTTTTCTGCAGTTTTCTATAGTCAGCACGTGGTCAATAGATTTGCAAAGATGGAGCATCTTTTTTCCCTCCTGATGAAATTACAACAAAACCCCACAGAGGCGACAACAGAGGAAAAGGAAAAGGCTTAGAGTGTGTGTGACTCAACAAATATTTCAATAGGGAATAACATCTTCTTACAGAAAGAAGTGTCTGTCAGAGACGCTTCCCCTCTCTTCTTTAAAACAGGCAGCAGACAGCAGCTTTCATCACTTCTCTTTGGAGTTTCAACAGAAACATGAGCCCTCCTGGGATTTGATTCCCTTCTTAGGCTTCACTTTAAATAACAACATTGTTTTATGCTGGCTTTGGTAACAGAGTAGTAGTAAAACAAACTGAAAAGAATACTGTGGAAACATCTGTTTAATGCCGGAATACATTTTATAAACCGTGTGGGATTACAGGCCTTCCTGTGAGAACACACAGAGCTTCCCAATAGGAAAAGAGAAATAACACGCTTTCTCTTGTATTTAATTTCTAGAGCCACTTGTATAAATCATGTTTCTGCAAGAAAATAGACATACTGTAAAGGAAGCTGTGGGAATTTTTCAATTTTGTAACGTTGGTTCTTTTAATGTCTGCATTAGCACCAATACTAAAAGGGACTCTTAGTATTGGTGAAAAAGAAAAAGAATCAATACACCTGTGTTAATGGACAAACATTTTTCATAATTTTAAGTAAGTCACGGCATCAACATCGGATAGTATCCTCTAATAGTGTAAAAAAACACATTAAATGATAAAGTTCTAAAATGAGTTAAGTCAGTATCTAACAAAAACAGGCTGCAGTTTTTACAGTAGCACAGTAGTCTTTAATGAAGAAGGTTCTCGGTTTGAACCCCTGCTTTTGGTCTTTCAGCATGTTCTCCCACTGCAATGGTTCTCAAGCTTCCTCCGACACTCCAAAGCCATTTGGCTGATTAATCAATCTAGTTTTCTCTCAAGAAGGACTGTATGTCTGCATTGATTCTGTCCTGTGTGTCTCTGTGATGTCCAGGGATGTGGAAGCCTTTAACGAACAAGCTGGTAAAGATGTTAATGTTAAAGACATTTGTGTAAAAAATAAGTCAAACCAAAGTCCAAAGAGAAAAAGGCAGTGGCCATGCTGCTGCTGACCAGACGTACTGGTAACGGACCATCTTTAAACCAGATATAAATGTTGTGATTATCGATCGCTGCAGATGGTCATAAAAACAGCAAAGAAAGCAGCATTAACTATCCAGCACAGTGGTGAAGGGTTATAAGTAAGGGCTTGCTTTACATTAAAGGACCTGATGTTTGGACAATAGTTAAATTGAGTTTGGTTTACAGACAGCTGGGACAGCTTCACTGACCAGTGATTCTTGGATGTAACTGTAATATATACAGTATATTTCTTATTTTCTATTTGTATAAGTCCTACAAAAAAACCTCAATAGGATGTTTTTTTTTCTTCTTTTAACTAATTAGTCCCAGCATAAAAACAGTGAATTTGAAGTTCTTTTGGAAGGATGGCACCTGAGCACAGAGACAGGATACAAAAATGGATGGAAAGGATTCCTTCCAGGTTGCTTCTTTATATCAATGAAGACATTGTGGTCTTTATGGCAGAAGAGCCATTTTCAACACATTCACACCTGAGCGCTAAGTTAGTGAAAATATTTCCACTCACCCAGAAAGTATTTAATTGTAAAACTGTCACTAAATGATGAAGCAAAGTCATAAACATCCCATAATTATACACTTAACCAGCTCATTTGGCCTAGTGGTCAGGGCTCTGTGTGTGTGGGCAGGAGACAGAGATGGAGAGCCTGTCAGAGTCAAAAGCTCTCTTAGCCTAGCACTCCTCTTAATAGAAAACTGAACTAGGCGACGCACTCTGGCTGGATGAGTGTTTGTGTGGCTGGGGGGGGGGAGTAGGGAGTATACGTCTGTTAGTCTGAAGAGCTTATATGAATATGAGGAAAACACTCAGCCTACACAAATTATTTTTTTTCCAATTGTCACGACAGAAAAACAGAAAAGATCAGGGCCACAAAACAACACTTCAAAATCCTGAAAATGGCTTTGGTCAATTCTGGAAAATATATTTAGCTTTCAAATTTAAAAATTTACATTTTTCTGAACGACAGTGCACATATTTTAATTAAATGTAGAATCATAGATAATTTAAACATGAGACCATGTAGTTGTTCGTGTCCACGGACATACCATGCTGCTGCTATGGATGCTGGTGATTTGATAAACAGGTTTTATTTGAATGTGCATGTGTTGTCGGCTCAAGGTTGAGAAATTCAGTGTTCTATTGCATTAGGGTGGGGTTTGTTCTCTTCAGTCTTTGCTTTCCCTTTTTTACCTTTAATAGTTTGTCAGAATTGGTCTCCCGTCTGGGGAATTTCATAGATTTAATCAAAACGACTCAAAAATACTCTTTCAAGTTTACTCTAGTTAACATTTATTTAAATTAAACTTTTTATATCTTTCTTATTTATACCACTTTATATCATATTTTGCAACAAATATTATAATCATACATAAAAAGTCTATTTACAAAATACGTAAACCCTACATATTTTTTTTTTAAGTAACATTTTGGATGGCAACCTTTTCCTTCTATATAAATTAAAATATATTGAATTAATTCTGCTATTTTTACATATTTTTACTCTGAAAAGTGCATTCCCTGCAGTATTTACTTAAAGATGTTAAAACTGAGGTTGCAGATGATTCATCTAAAATGAAATATTTGCAAAGCCTACACTATTTAAGATGCTCCAAGCTGTTTAACAAAGCTACCTATTGTGGTGGAGCTGGTTTGGGTTCTTCCAAATATATCTCCTCTGAAAGAAGCACATTTTTTCAATTTAAAAACAAAAAAAATAATTCTAATCTACATTTTCTTTCGGACTGAGATGTCAGTTGTTTATCCAGGTATCTGTTAGAGCCACTTCTTCGGTTTTGCAATCAGTGCTGGGATGACCACCAAAACTATGGTTGCAGAGTTTTTCCTTCCATAATGCTTCTATTAGATCCTTATCTTCCATTTTCCACTGTACTACACATTCACTAGGACCACCTCTTCATATATATCCTTGGTGCTTCGATGTTTGATCTTTGATGGTGGCTCTGATGCTCACTAAGCATCTGCATCCTTTGAACTTTGGGTTTATGGATAGTCGATTTGGGATGAAAACCACCAGGTACAGTGAGTAGTATACATTTTTTAACATCAGTGCCCTAAATTTTCTTCGTTAGCCAACTTATTTCCCCTGCAGTGTATCTGATTACTAGCACGGCAAACATGCTGATTGCCTGAACCCTCTTCTTGCCATATAAGTTACTTCTCAATTGTTTTTCTTGTGGCATTCCAGGGTCCATGTTTGTGGTCATTGAGTCATAAGCTCTGTTCGAATTTATGGGATGTGTCCCCTGAAGGCCAGATTCGAAGGCCGTTTACGTCATAGCATTGCAACGAGGTCTAGTCGGATTCCAAGACTCCTTGTTATGCGGCCTACAAATGCGTTGTTCTTTTTGCCTGATTTGAAGGACAGGTCCGCTGTATCCTTTCCATCCTTGGTTATCCCAGGATTCATTGCGAGACATAGCAAGCCAGGTGCTCCGTGATCAGAGGAAATGGTACTTTCTTCTGTCGGAGTCTATTGTTCAGTTTAATATAATACAAATATGAATGGTTCTGTCTGAAATTAATTGAAATAGTTGTTTAATGGTTATTGAGTCAGATATGTGGCGGGTAAATTTGATTTATCTAAAGGGTTTTATCTTTTACTGTAAAGATGGATTTGGCTTTAATTTAAGGATATATTCAAATATATCTGCAGTGTGGGGACTATAAATCTGATATGATTTCTATTTTTAATTGCTATTTTGCACACTTTACTTAACTAAGTATTTTTCATTGAATATAAGAGATTTTGCAGATATATTCTTATACATACATTGTTCAGATTTACTTATATCTTTCTACCAATTTTATAGAATAGAAAATTTAAAAGCTATATGACCCGTCCACCTTGCATCCCTGCATAGCTGCTAGCTCTACAGGTTGTATGATGGCTGAAGTAGGGGAGCCACAAGCTTGTTTCCATCTTTGGCCCTTTGAGAAAGGGTGCAACACTGTGCACCCCTGCGCTCTGAACCCAACCTATAAGGAAATCCCGCAGCTACCACAAGAAGACAGATGGCAAAGACTTGGAGAAAGATGGTTACTTTACGTGCAAATTGTGCTTGAGAAGGTGACTAATTCATCACTGCATCTAAAGGAGCTTGACCCATCACTATTTGCTGAATTCAATTTAAAGTTTATGCTGACTTGAAATGAACAATGAACTTTTAGCGGCAGACATTAGTGGAACAAATACTACTAGGGCAGAGCTTGTCGAGTTGTCAACCAGAAAGTGGAGTGTTGGATTTTAATAGTTTTAATTGAAATGAAAATATACAGAGTCCCTCAATAGCTGTAGTTGTGCATTC